GCTTGTTTTTATGGAAAAAAAAGTGCGCATTATACACGGGTAAATACGGTAATATGGAGTACTGGTGTGTTGTGTTTGAGCTCCTCTTTCACTGAAAGTATTTCACCACATACAGCCGGTCATGCCTTTGCTCAACCCCTAACAAATCCTTGATTCTTAAGTAAATTGCTTCTTCGATAAAGATGTATAATCTGCAACATTACCATGATTTTGATCAGATAAAAAAAACGTGTTCCAACTATGATCAGCTGGTCAGCAGTTGATGTTCTTGAGATCCAACTTATTGAAAACTAGTTCCCCATCAGTTTAAAAAGCGATCACTTAATACATAAAAGCTGATAATTCCAGCTCGTAAATACATGTACGTAGTAACCATTTTGTGGATTAAGAAAGGTACCATTATCAAAACCTTCGTGTCAAAACCGTTTTAAGGACAGTCATAGAATATAGACATATTGGCTAATTTATGCAACATCTGCCTCGTGAAAAATATGAAACTGATGACAAATTCTCGGCACCTGTTATAGGGGTAACTTTTTTCCTGAGACAATTTTTCAGCAGCACCTTTGATTTACAATCATCCATTATTTCATTCACCACAAAAAATCTCTTCATAATCAAGAAAATAGATCGTTTGAGTTGTATAAGCGTTTGTGTAAGTGTGTCTTCTTTGGTTTGTTGTTCGAAAATATTGTTGGTAACAATAGAAAAGTTGAGAAATCTCCTTGATGGTACAAAAGCGTGCTTTTTAAAAAGTATTATTAGAGAATATATCCACCTTTCTTGGGAAATCATTTCCCTCATCAAGAAAAAAATCGCCTATTTTTCAAAACTTTTCACCAAAAAAAAATGTTATATTGAAAGAAGAAATTCCACAGGATGGTTCAAAACCAAACTCGTCTACAAATGACTTTCCAAGCATTCTGTTTTATGTTTTTTAATAGAGAGATTTTAGGCCTATTTTTATATTAAAAAAAAAAGAGAGAGAGCAGTTACAAAACAGGAACCCTTGAGGGATGGACTATACTGTAAACTGCCACTTATAAACCCTGGGCTGATACAACTTCGTATTAAGAGGGAGCTTATTACCGGAATAGAAAAGCGCTTCGAAGCTAGCTATGGAACTGCTGATCAAAATACGTTTTGCCTTCACTTGTCTTTAATTAAGCTTCAAAGCGTCAACATAAATAGAATTAATTTCGATAGATTTCGAAGAGAATGATACTTTTAATCATCTAAAGAGTTGATAATTAAAACAGGCAATAAGCTTATTGATATGTAAAGATTTTTTAAAAATAATTTTTTAAGCAGTACATTAGTGCCTTCCTCTCCAAACAAGACAAGAAAAGCAAAAACGGGGCTCTTAATCGGATGTGTTTTCTTTTTCGGTCATGGGCAGATGGGCTAAATAACCAAGGGGGTTTATAAGTGTGTGCGTGTGTATGGGGCGGGGGGCTGGCTGGCTTATAAATGAAGGAAGGGGGGCTTAAAAGTGGCAGTTTACGGTATTTGTATTTCTAACGAAAGTTTTCTTGCTCCGCACGAAAAGTAGACAAAAAAAGGGAAATTTAGTTTGTTCTCTAAGAAATACTGAAGACTCGTCAGCTTTCCACCAAATTCCTTTTCCTCACCATAAACATTCCCCGAGGTTTTAAATTTTTTAATTCATCATCGATGTATCCGTTATTTGAAAATACTAGATGCCTCATTGTGAAACTGAAGATTTAAAGAAATTACAATTTGCCTAATTAATTTCCAAAAGCTATTTATGGCTCAACAGTAAATTATTTGTTTACAGGATATCCTCGATTTTCCTTACAAAGTTGAAGAATATCACATTTCTGTTTTCACTTAAAAATGTTTTTCTTTCTCCCAGAAACCTGCCTTTCCCAAACACTCGCAATGCACGATCTCGAAAAATCCTTTTCAAGGTTTAAAACAGTATTAGTTGTCATCAATGTTTGATTGGTTAAAAATGTCCACGAAATTTAGCAATTTACCACGTCTATGGGCTCATTTCAGATGAAAATTATGTTTACATTTGATTCTACCACATATTTGAGATACATCTGAGTAATTCTAAGCCAAACCTTTCGATTGTTTTACGAAATTTCCATGCCATTATGCAAAATAATTTTTCAAATTCCTTCGACACTGCAGTTTATTTTTTTGATAATTTTTCTACCGTAAGAAAATCGGAATTTACAATGATTTTAATTTTTCAGTCTTGAAACTTTTGCAACAATCTGCAATATTCCTGGAGCTCAGCAATGAGAGATAAAAAGGCAACTAATGTCTTTACATCAACTTAATAATTTGTAATAATTGATCCTATGGTAGAATTCGTTGAAAATTTTGACCAGATTCTCCAAGTTACATTGCAATGGATTTCCTTGATCTATCCGTCGATCAATTCGGAGCTTCAATATTTCCCCCGGCAAGCCCCCAGGCATTTGAACTTTTGAAGATT